TTAAGATGGCCGCCGGACTGACAGGCTCAGTGTGTGGAGAATAGTACCTCCCCCAGTTTGGGCGGCAAACTGTAAGCTTGCCATTCGCATAAAACTGCCGAACGTGAATAGAAGATCTATGCGAACTGCCGAACGTGCGAATAGAAATAGATGCGAACGTTTAAAAAGGCGATCGCGTCAAACTGCCGAACGAAGCGTTCGGTAGTTAGAAACGAATAGTCAATGTGCGGTCGCGCGGGCATTCGAGTAAAACAGGCGAATGCGCAAAACTACCGAATAACGCGTTCGGTAAAAAGAACAGAAAAACTGTTAAAGAGAAACAGAGAAAATGGAGGGAAAGTACAGACGGCGGGAAAGCCGTGAAAGACAGTTAGGGAGCCAGACAGGGTCCCCTGGTATACAGGGGTTAAGAGCATTAATAGGGTAAATATATAAAGGTACAGTGAAAACAAAAGGCATGTAAAGGAAAAGTGTATGTAGAATAGATAATACAAAATTTGGTACTTAACTTGTGATGGAGCAGCAAAGAAAGAGGAAATGATGTCATAGGTCTCACCTCTTATACCCTATTCTACGTTGTGATTGGTTAAAAGTTTTGTCACTCATTTCTTTGCTGCTATGGAGATAGTAAAGAAAGATTATGCAAAATACGAAGCCTCCTGTCATGTGATAAAATTCAAATTTAGGGTCAATATCAAACTACACTATTTCAAGGGACATTACAATTTCTTCACATATTTCAATAAAGAAGGAAAAGTAGGGGGTAGTTACCCACTAACAAATTGACACACAAATCACAGAATGCCAAAAAGGGGTAGGGAAATGGAAGGTTCCTCCTATGACGTTACTTGTTGATATGTGGGAGGTGGACTTCTCATAGACTTCAAGTTTATGGAATGAGGCCAGTGTAGAGTAGACATTTGTTGTCAACCTGTCCATTGCTTGGGTGTCATCAAGAAGCAGCTATAGTGACTTTGTTTTTTAGTGTATGAGCATGGGTGGTTTTAAATATTAGTGCATAGTTCTTTGAAGTCTAGAGAACCACATGAAGAACTGCGGCAAGACATCTAGGAGCAGGGTAAAACAGCCACCCCCTCGTACAAACACACACACACGTACACCTACTTCTACTTTGACTCAAAAATTCCACTAGCCCTTGGCAAGTAAAAATTTTGCTCTTGCAAACAGGGCCTAGCAAATTAATGGACCTCTCACTGCTATTTATGATACAAAACAGGAGGAAGAGGAAGTTTGGCAGGGATAATAATTATTAGAAGGCATGGTGAAAAAGAATAAACTAGTCAAGGTAACAGATGACTAGTAGACATTGAGAGAGCAAGGGAGAAAACAATAGACAGATGAGGAGAAAGAGAACAGGGGTAAATTGGGAGAAAAAAACGATAGGAGAGCAGGTAAATAATGACATGTAGATAAAAAAATGTACTGAGGGGAGGAAGAAATTAGATGCTGGTAAAAATGAGGTGAAGTGACCCAAATAGTGTGGGTGAGTAATAAAAGGGTGTTCCAAAATCCATAACCACTGTTGTTACGGTATCAGCATGCCATTGTTACTATCCTAGGTTTTGTATCAAACCCTTTTCAAGTGGTTTCTTGCAAACTATTGGTCCTCTGGACACCTGTGACCCAGTCCTTCATTCAGCATATTTATTGCAATCGTGAAAGTTACGTTCCTGTATTAGCAGTATTAACTTTGTCCAAAGTTGGACAAGAATTATTGGCTGAGCATATCAACCTTGCTTAAAGGGACACTATACTCACCAGAACAACTGCAGCTTAATGTAGTTGTTCTGTTGAGTATAATAGCTCCCTTCAGGCATTTTCATGCAAACACTATCTTTTCAGAGATAAGCAGTGTTTACATTGCCCCTAGGGACACCTCCAAGTGGCCACTCCTTACATGGCCACTGGAGGGGCATCATGGCTTAGGGCTACACAGTAGGCAGCCCTGCCGTTCAGCGTCCCCACGCTCTGCATGGAGACGCTGAATTTTCCTCATAGAGATGCATTGATTCAATGCATCTCTATGAGGAGATCCTGATTGGCCAAAACTGCATTTGGCCCCGCCCCATGACGGTTTTAGCCAATTCAATGCTTTCCCTATCGGCAATTTTAAGATGTCACAAAGGGGCGGAGCCAGCGCCGGCGGACCCGTGCAGCTCTGGAAAAAAGGTAGGTGAGTTTTAAACTTTTATAGGGGGGCTAAGACAGCGAAACCTATATGGTGGGTTAAACACTACAAGGTCAGGAATACATGGTTGTCTTCCTGACCCTATAGTGATCCTTTAAGAAGAACTGATTTGTTTGGTTAATGTCAATGATGCACATCCTCTAAAAGGTGGATCAGCATACTTTTATTCTTACCTAAAGAAAAATGAAGGTGAAATATATTAATGAACACAACGATTATTTTAGCACAAAAATCCCATCCACTTAATCCTTTGAGAAACTGGCCATACTTTGCTCAATGTGTTATGAATGTGTTTGTTAACATGTATTAAAAGTAAGTGACCTTAAAGAAACACTACATTTTCCATACAAGTTAAGTTCCGTGCTATCGCTATAAAAACACACAGTACATTTTCCTTGATAAGATGCTAAAACAAGGACACTGTCTGGCATTCATTACCAAGGCCTATAAAGAAAGGGAGGAAATGCAAAGAATTGGGAAGAGAAGATATTAACTCCATCACTATCCTTACTGTAGCAATCCTGTAATATTTTGTGGTCATTAGTGTCATTTAACTGTCATTTACATTGCATAAAAAAATATAATAGCCGTTTGATAAGGAATATATAAATATATCAAGGGGTCAAGTCGTGGGGAAAAAAGTGTGTGAACTCACCTAAGATCCACCCCCTCCCCACAAACAAATGATACACATACACATTTACAGACACACATACACTCAGACACACACACAGACACACACACACTTACACACACTCACAGACACACACATACACTCACAGATGCACACATACACTCACAGACACAAACACATACTCAGACTCACACACACATACACTCACAGAAACACACAAATTATTCATATTTTTAACATTTTCAAATGTCCACCCATCCTCCCTACCTGGAGAGCTGGCATGGATCTGTCCCTGGGGTCCAATGGGGCTTCAGTGAGGCGGGCAGCTGTCTACCTGTCAGACGCGGCGAGGCAGCTGTGTTCTCTCTGATCTGGTCCCTCACATCGCGCGGGCTGTCTACTGATGCTGGGAGCCGGAATATGACGTTATATTGTGGCTCCCGGCATCAGCAAAAGGCGTGCGAGGGAGCAGAGCAGAGAGAACACAGCTCCCTCGCCGCATCTGACAGGTAGACAGCCGCCCGCTGGGGGGGTCTGTTAGGTGGCCAGTAGGCCACCTCTTGGTCCCTCCATGACAGGGGGAACAAGTGGGGCATTTTGGTTAGTGCCTGCAGGAGCAACAGGAACGGCGTTCCTGCTGTGAAAAAAAGTGCTTGAACGCCGTTCCCACACGTTCCTGCAGGACTCGAGCCCTGAATATATCTAATGCAGCAAAATATAAAAATGTAAAATTTAAATGTGTTACATACAAATAGTAAGTGTTTGAGTGTGGTGATGCAGGTTGGCTGAGTGTGGAGGAAAAAGATGAAAGTAACCATTGCTCACATGAATGTATCCAAAGTACCCGGGTACTAAGCCTTACATTAATAGATACATATTTAACGTATATATAATAGTTGTGTAATTTGTGTTCCTATTTTCATGGGCAGAATCTATGGAATCAATGGCTGAGGAGTAACAAGTAATAATGTGAATTAAAGGACAGAGCAGAAGAAAATAGATTTGAATGCAGATTTTGGTGACTGGGTAGGGATTACAGAACCAGAGGCTGGAGTTTGGCAGTTGGGCTTATCCTCTAATGACCATTGGAGGTAACTAAAAAAACCTTCATTTGTTTAAAAATACATAGGGATTAAGGAGAGAGCACAGGTAACTTGTTTTTCTTTGCTATAAATTGGGGCTGATGTGTACTGTAGTCATTGCTGCCGCCCAGTGATGGGGGTGAGCGCAGGACTTATCTTTCTGCATTTGTATCCATTTTTTGTATCACTCAGCGTTGTTACAATGCAGCCGCCCATCCCATGTGTTCCCTATTAAGGGTTAATAATATATAAGGATGTATATAAGAAATACCCCTTTCTGTCTCATTCGAGATCTTTGCCAGTAGCTCAAGGAAGCAAGGTGAATGGTTAGAGTTAGGACCCACCTGGGGGGGGGGGTCTGCCTTGACGTTGGCAGGTGGGCTCACACCTCCACTAAAGCTCAATGAGAGTGTGATGTACTAATTATGGTGCTTGGAATATTCATTTAGTATGTTGACTAGAGATTTTGTAAGAGTTTGATCATTTTCCCAGTCACCTCTTTTTTTGGCCTTGGATGTTCTCATGACCGCAAATTTTAAGTTTACGGAGAAAAAAAAAATCTTTATTTATTTTATGTGATGTGCAGCATGTTTCCTAATATATATCTATAATAATAATAAAAAAAGGAAAATAAGCATAATATAAATCTGAAAACAATTTTAGAAATAAAAAGCCAATAATACATTTTTTTTTTTTTTTAAATGGATAAAAAAAAAGTCAATATGTCATTGGGATTGTCTTATTCAAAAGCTGCCTTTTAAACTTTTTTGTATCATTTAATAGAGTTTCAGGTTAACATCTTTCCAAAGCTATGTGTCACCATGTAGTAACTGTCTGTAAGTATATGTTTTGGTTGCAATTATATATACATCTCTCAAGCTGATTTGCATTGTCATGATTAGACTAAGAGTGTGTTTCGTCATTGTGTATACAAAAAAAAAAACAAGAGTGTAATGCACACACTAAAAAGGGGAAATAATTCCTGCAGGGTGCTCAAGAAAGGAAGACATCAAATGGAAGAAAATTAATATCCAGGCACACCTGAGGTTTCTTCTAAAAGGCAGTCTTTTTATTTGGAACAAGAAAGTGAAGACAACGTTTCGGCTCCTCTCTATCAAGTCTTGATAAAGGCTCAGAGAGGAGCCGAAACGTTGTCTCTACTTTCTTGTTACAAATAAAAAGACTGTCGTTATTGTGTGTAGTCTACCAGTGCTGAATTTTTGGCCAGTTTTCAACAACACTGTTTTCTGTTCCTGACCTTGGCTTGTTACGCGACAATGACACTTTCTCTAATCCTGAATTTGGCTAGCCTGTTAACTGTGATTACCTTCTGGAGTTGCTCTCTTCTCTCTTCGGTGGAGTTGTTACACCTCTAAGGATTACCTCTATGCCACATTCATCCCGTTTTTATTTGATATCTGTCCTATATAATGCTAGTTTCATGGTTTGATAACATTATAGCTTTCTGGGGTAGAGGTTTGCTAGAGTGAACAATTTAGGTGCCTTGCAACTCCCAATGCCCAAATATGCATGTCGCATAATAAAAAAAAACACAACTGTGGACAAGTAGCTAATGAAAAAAAGATTAAAGGACATATTACATGTGAAACATAAAATTAAACAATTACGCCACATGTACTGTGCAAGGAGGCCCCAGGACACATCTGTTGTGTGGGTAGTGGTTGTAAAGATATTTTTCTAATAAAAATGTTTTTAGGATCTGCAAATCAATCGATCAATCGCTCAGTCAATCTGTCTAAAGATGCATGCAGCAAATCATTCAGACACTCTTGTAATCACAACCTGATGAAATATCGGCTATATGATACATTTTGGAACATGTGGGTCTTTCAGTCGAGATTAAAGCGTATAATTGTTCGGTTGAACAAGTAACTACTCACATTTTACAGTTCCTCTCTACATCATTACATTAAACGTGTTTCATAAGAATGTGAACAAGACAGCAGCTGTAAAAGGTTTAACTGAGAATCCAAACACAATGAAATGACTAATTTTTTCCTTATGTTTGACAACAAAATTACCGTAGACACAGTCAGAGCCTGTCCTGATAATCTGCAGTCAGCAAGTCACCGTATATTAAATACTAGTGTAGTGTATTCTGAGCCTGTCTTGATAACCTGCAGTCAGCTAAGTTCATAAAAAATTGAAAAAAGCGACTTTGTTTTATGGACAAGCCTGAGGTGGACAAAAGTTGACAAATGTGGAACTCTGACACCAACGTTCATCCAATCCCAGCAGCAATGACAGCTGTGGAATTCATGCATCAATCTACAAAGGCTTTCGCAGTCTGGCAGTATTCCCCAAAGACCTCAGTGGTCCACTCTTGTGCATGCACGAGAATACTGCACTGATGCGGCCCATGGCAACTGAAGCATCAGGAGATGCAAAGGACCTACAAAACGAAAATTGCGGTGGCCGTGATGAACAGCTTGAGGTAAGTTAAACATACCTTCCTGTGCATCCCGCGACTACATGACTACATAATGGAATGGCCCTCCAGATACTGCTCTGCAGATCCTCATTCGAGAGACCTGTCAGAGAAAGACCCTTCCCTCTCAGAATTTGTTCAGGATGAAACATGGCCACTACATTAGGGAGAAAAAGATGCTGACGATCAGACTGGTCTATGGTCCACCAGCATTCTGAGCAATTCACATGGTTTCGCAATTGGCCAGATAGAGTTATGGACAACCTCTCTTCAACAGAACCATAGTCCACAGCACAAATGGTCGAGGGCATTGCTGGCCCTGCAGCAGCAGCATAGTGAGGAGGAGGTTGAAGGGGTGGACTTCCCCAGCTGACAGACAGGAAGGGGGTGTACACAGCATTCCTCCCCTGGCTCTGTACTGCTCCAAATCTTGTCCAGATGAGAGGGACATCAGGACATATTCACCCAGTATATGTGTGGCTCATGCACACAGCCTGCAATGAGTGCAGTGGACGAGAAGGTAAAGTTATGTCTTGCTTCTCTTCACTCACCTCTCTCGCTGCGCGTGAAAATAAGACATGAGGCAGATGAACATTAATACATTCCACAGCAATAAACTCATATAATATGTCACAGAGCACCACAACATTAAAGCAGCTCTGTAACTTCTCAGTATTTCATAAAGATATTAGCTTTATAAAATGCTCATGCTGACTGCTTTGGAACTTCAAAAATAGAGAATATGACAACTCTGGGAACAAAAAAAAGCGTAGAGAAACTCAATAGCTTGCCCTTTGGTTAATATCTGATTATGTCTCAAAATATTTTTGATCACTTGTGTTATTACTAATAGAACCTATACAATTTGCATATCTGAATTTCTGGCAAGATCCCACTACAAAAGAGATACAGCAACCTTGGACAATTGTTTTGGCCTTCTTTGGGCTTCAGTGATGTAGCTGATACCATTCTAGGCACAGTGAACACGGGGTCCACATATGAAGACCCTAAGCAAATGCATTGAAACACAAATAGAACTCTGAAAACTATCAAAAGTTTAGAGAAACTGAATAGTTTGCTCTTCAGTTTATTAACGCTCAGTTCTCAAGTTAGTTCAATGCAAATATAGTTAAATCCAAAGATACCATAAGACAAAGTAGAGAGTACTTATGGCAAAGCCAAAGGTTCTCAAAAGTTGTGGGTCTGCTGTCAACTTTTGTGCAATTACTGCTGGGATTCAGGCATTGTCTCGTTCATTACTAGATTCAATCTATGGAGGCTTTATAAACCTAACTGTTATACTCTAACTGTTATTTTAGGAGCAGCGAGAGGGAGCTGCTCCTGGCCAAGTAACTAATGAGCATGGCAGAGCCTAAAGGAAGTCTCCAGGAAGAAGATGGTGGCGGCAGTGAGGGACAACTTCAGGTAAGCAAACCTACTTTTCACTGCACCCTATAGTCATTAGACTTTAACCAGACATATCACCTTTAGGGGTCTTTAAAAATAAGACCCCTGAAAATGACAGCTCAACTTTAAAATTTACTGCAATATGTTTCACAGAGTTGCAGAACATTACGTTTTGCAGAAATGTATGAATTGTATACATTTTCACAGAGTTATGAGCAATAAAACTAACAGTAGCTTGCAATATGTATAAATATATCACAAAGCCTCACAATAAATCACGGTACAGGTCAAAGTAATTTGTAATTTGTGTGCGTGAAATACAATCAACACATATTTTTTGTCTACTGCATTGTAACGTTTAGTACTGAGTCCACAATGTCTGACGATTTCCCTCCTGACCTCATGCACCATTTCATCGCATGATAGAAACACAGCATGTTCTGAGCCTGTTTTTATCATCTGAAATCGGGAAGATCACCTCACATTAAACAAAAATTCAATGTGCTCCGAGCCTTAGCTATTTTACAAGGAAATTCAGAAAAGTGATAATTTATGGGAATTTATCAAAGTGTATTCAAAGTAAAATTTGCAAAATTTATGCCAGTTTAGTCAATTCTGTTTTCAGTTTAGCTATATGTTGCCCTGAATTTTTAAGTTCAATTTTAAATTGACTTTGAATTCCGACGAGTCTCCATTTTAGTAAATAACCCAGAGTGTGTTGGTTACCTACATTACAAGCGTTGCATGAACTGCATGTCAAGAAGTCACCTTAGATCAGAGACTCACAGACTTTTTTGATGAGCGGTTTAATCCTGGCGTTATTATAGAATTTCGGACATCAAAATGTAATCAAACAGCATTACAAATCAAAGAGCCGTGTGCTAAATATGAGCATGTAATCCAGGTGGAGTGCCTGCAGACTGAAGAACTGGAGCCTAACAAACCATGCCTTGGTCTACATAGAACTCCAGCTCTGTCTGAACCTGTCCTGATAACCTGCAGTTACTGGTATTAATCATTCTCTCTGTCACTTAATGGTTTCTCCAGAAAACTGACCCCTTTGACACTTCTTGTCTGGATTTTACATCCCACCTCCTGTGATCCTTCCTCCTTACATCTGGCAAGGCATCTACAAATAACCCACACATTGCTGTTTCAAACAAGCTTTTATTTTAACTTTGCTTAGTAGCAGAGGAAGTTGTATTTGTATGGAAAGAGAACATTCTCGCGTACAGCAACATGCTGTAGGGAGTTCATTATGTTGAAGCCAACTGTCCGTGAAAAAGAAAACATTTGGGAGCAAAAATACTGACGAATGCTCGCACTAAAGCAGTCGTCAGTGCTTTTTGTGGGCATAGCCACCTCTTGCAGTCATGCATATGGATAGAAGCACTTTATACCATTTTAATAATTGAGTATCTGGTACATTACTATACTCTGACCAAATTCAGGATAAAAATCAGCTGCACCATCACAAAACGTCAATGTGCATGTGACAGCAGTTGTCAAAGTGAAGTTTCATAAGTACATCTACAGCTACCAACTGGATACAGGTCTTGGGCTGATTATTACACCCAAACAGGCAAGATTAATAGCTTATTAGTCCTAAGAGTATGGCTTCATGTTACTGGAAGGTGAGAACAACCTCCCTTTCTACTCTTTTCAGTCGTATATAAAAAACTCTTAGGAAGCAAACGGTGGTGGCTGGTCTATAGGGACCGGTAGGGTGGCACCCCCTCCAGTTTTTATTTGGGGGGGAAATTTTAATTTAATCTCATTGTAAGGACTACTTATACATTTTTGCTAGTAGAAGAAAAAAAACATGTCTGCCATAATTATATCTACAATTTCCACTCTCCCCTTTCCTCATGATTGAAGAAAGCTGATTTTAAACAGGGCATCGCATCTCATAGGGTTAAGTAGTTAGAGCTCAACAAGTCGGGGGGAAGTGCTCCACCACTTTCAACTTTACCAACCGCCACTGGGAGCTAAACTACAATTTGGATTAATAGATTAAAATATTTGGCCTTTTCTTAGGCCAGTTACTTCAAGCTTTACAGTGAAATCCAATGGGCATGCTTCATGCTTGAACTTCAGATGATGTGGACTCAAGAACCCTTTGATGGGCTGTCTTGACTGATTAAATAACTTCTGAGAAGGATATACCGATCACACACTGAAAATGCTAACAACATTGTCGATATTTGCTTTTAAAGGAGGAGGCTAACTGGAAGAGGTTACTAATCAAAATGGAAAGATGAGACTTATCAATAGGCTTAAGTTAAATATTTTTACTTTTATTACAAACTTTCGTA